GCTCTACATTTATCTTATTTTTTCAATTCTATTACACTCTTGCAAATGGGCTGGTTAGAACTGCATGCAATGTCCGAAGTGGATCTTGGATTTGTATACTGTCCAATCATATTTATTCTTTTGCTTTCAGTTCATTTTTTTCCTCAGCTCTTAACATTTTCCTTGCTTTTCTGTCCACAGGGGAACACTGACATTTCTAGAGCAGTATCCACAGTGAAGTCTACAATTGCACTAGTGCAATTTTAAAGTAACCACTTTATGGTCCCTTGTGCTTTCATGCTGGTTTGGTTTGCAGAGAGGTTTTTACATGTGTAAACTAAATTCCTTAGGAGGAAAGTGAATCATATTTTTGCTTTGAAGGTACTCCAGTGCCTAGTGGGGCATGAACCAATGTGTGGGCTACACTACTTCAAGGTCTTGCAGAGTGTACACAGCATTTCTTTCTTTTGGAAAAATGGAGAGTTTGGACTGGGGGATCAGCCATTTGAGGAGAGGCTTAAGGACTCATCTTTGTTCAGCTTGGAGAAGACATGGCTAAAGGTCATCTAATTGGTGTTTACAACTACCTAATGGTAGCTATAGAGAAGATGGAGCTACACTCTTTTCAGAGGTGCACAGTGGAAGGATAAGAGGTAACAGACACAAATTACAATGAGAGAAATTCCAATTAGATATAAAGAAAAAACCCCTCTCACAATGAGGGTTGTCAAACACTAGCATGGGAGCTCAGAGAAATTATAGAATCTCAATCCCCATATAGATACTCAAACTCAGCCAGAAATATCTCCAAACAACCTGCTCTATCTTTGAAACTGTATTTATCTGGAGGAACGGATTGACCAAGTGGTCTCCAACCACCCATTCCAACCTACATTGTTTTGTGGTTTATCCAATGGCAAAATCCAAGTCAAATCAAATTCATAAATTCATATAAGGAAAAACTGAGGAGCCTCAGCACAGTCTCTAAGGTCTAGTGTTGCTTTCCTATCTACTGATGTTAGAATCATAGAATGGTTTGGGTTGGAATGGACCTTAAAGATCATCCAGTTCCAACCCCCCTGCCATCAGCAGGGACACCTTCCACTAGACCAGGTTGCTCAAAGCCTCATCCAACCTGGCCTTGAACACTTCCAAGGAGGAGCAGCCATAGCTTCTCTGGTCAACCTGGGCCAGTATCTCACCACCCTCACACCAAAGAATTTCTTCTTCAGACCTCATCTCAGTCTCCCCTCATCCAGTTTAAAGCCATCCCCCCTTGTCCTATCATTATGTGCCCTTGTCCAAAGTCCCCCCCATCCATCCTGTAGCCTCTTCAGGTACTGGGAGGCTGCTATAAGATCTCCCCAGAGCCTTCTTTTCTCCGGGCTGAACAGCCCCAACTCTCTCAGCCTGTCCTCACAGCAGAGCTGCTCCAGCCCTCGGATCATCCTTGTGGCCTCCTCTGGACTGGCTCCAGTAGGTCCATGTCCTTCCATTGCACCAAGTCACTTGCTGACATACTTAGTAACTATCCAAAGACACCAACATGAAATACTTTTTCAGATCATATTTTACTTATACATCATTTCAGTCAACAACCACACATTGTTCACGCGATATTTCAATATGACATCCGAAGTACATCATAATAGTTGGTTGTTTTGAATGACTAATGTTTCTAAGATCGTAATTTAAGTATACAGAAGTGTACACATGCGCATACATGCACAGACACACATGTGCATGTGCAAACATGCCTACAAAGTATTTCCTTAAATATATACCCTGATAATTGAGATGATAGCTTTTTTATTTTCTGCACATTTTTATAAGTGAACTGTTTTTGCAGTTTGGACAAAAATGATAGTTAAATCTCTGGTGTTTCTATGAACTTCTGGACATAAAGCAGAAAACGGAGGGAATAAAATTGCAAAAGTTGCAGTTACTTCACAACTTGCCAAGAGTTTGTGGTTAACTTGCTTACCAACTGTTATTGTTACTCAACCTGATTCCTCAAGGAAACAAATATGCATTGTTATTTTTTACCATGAGCAAGGTCCTGTGTGCAAATGTCAAGGACTTGGCTTTAATGCTGAGCATTCTTGACACTGGTAATTATAAATTCTGCATTGTCCCTCTCATCGTTATTGTCAAATTATCTCTGACTGGAGATGAGTAAGGGAGGAGCAGAGGAGGGATGGAACACCTTTGTTTGTCCAAAGCTCATAGTGGTGAGGCAGGCCTTATGGAGATTTCAGTGTGTGTTTCTCAGGGTGGGAAACCTTTCCATCCCTGCCTCCAGCTCCTGTTCTTATGAGCAGGAGACAGTCAGTCGGGTTTGTACATCAGGAGGAACATATCAGTGTTTTACCCTTCATGAACTCAGTGTTTTTCTCCAGTGGTAGACCTGACTTACCCCAGGATCACAGGAGCACCAACTAGATGTTCCTTCACCCAGGGTACCTGGGTAGGAAAGTGCATGGGATTGAACCCAGCTAAGTTCGGTAGCACCTCACAATCATTTGGCTCTTGACTTCAGGTAAGTAATCCTCTCTACCCAAAACACCATCTACTTTCTCACTGTTTTCACTGCAGAGAGAAAGG